CAGATGCAGAGGCGGATAGCCCCTCAAATCCGTTCGAATCACTCCTACTGCTTAGACTCTACTCCAGACGAGTATGCTTGGCTTGCTCAACACTGAATCAACTCTGTGAGCTGGTCCCAAAAAATACGAGTGGCATCTCGGGGCAATGATGTGGGTCAATGTCAGGATTGTATTAGACCATATTAGACCCATCCAATGAGTGGAAAATGGAGAGCCGTAGCGGCCCCACTCCTGGGAGAGATTTCCTCGTCGCCCGGCCTACAGATGACTGCGGCTTGAAGCCGACGAGTGGGTCTTGACTGTGGTTTCTCCATGTGGGGGGGGGACACAGGTCAAAAAGGGCTATGCACAGGTCACAGGTCAAAAAAAATGGCAGAAGTTGCTAAGATCAACATGTCGATTTGCTCGACCCAACCCCCCAAAATAAGGGGTGTCTGATCACTCCGACACGCGTCACAGGGAACCCCAAAGCAGATCTCTTGAAGTACCCAACCACCCGAAGCTTCCAGACTTGAACCCTTCAGGAAGCTGAAGGGTCTCAAGTCCACATGAGGTGTGGAGCAAATCCAACCGTTTCGATCAGTTGGTTGGGATTCCTTTCCACCCGGCCGTACGGACCCGGCGGTCCGCTTCGAGCCTAACCCGCGAGGCCACCGAGCCATCCGAGCATTCCGCTGGAAAGGAGGCCCAGCAGCCTTCCTATGGGGTCAGGAGAGGGGGTAAACACCACACATGGGCGTTTTTCTTGGTGCTGCCGCATGCTGCCGCTGCGGGGGGGAGGGTTTCGTCACAAAGATTCGATATCAGTGGAATTCAGTGGTTCATGTTTGAACAGCAATGTGGTGGATGTGTTTTTTAAAACTAAATTCTTACACATTCGGGGATGTGTGATGCCCAAAAAGGATTGCTAAGAACATGCTGTGGGTTTAGGTGTTTTGTTGAGAACCGGTGTGTCGCCCAACGGAAGCTCCCAACCTGCGCCCTCGCCCGCTCGGGGTCACCGGGATCACCTCGGCTTCGGGAGTTGGTCGTCTGGACTGGTCACTTTCGTTACACTGAAGACGACGACGTGCACCGGCAGCTGTACACGTTGCACATCTACCGCCACGAGTGTTAGCAGTTAGCATGTTAGTGTTGTGTGTTCACAATGCTTGTGGATGTGCTGCTTTTCGGGGCTGCGCTACTAGTCTTTGAAGAAAGAGATGGACCATGGACCACGGAACCTGAACTTGACGCTCCGTGCATTGAAAGATCACCGCTCCTCTCACATCACAGGGGGCTCACGTCACCACGGTCACTCTCTCCGGTAACTCACCAGACCTTCCGGTCGCTCCGCAACGTGTGGCGAACGCGGAGCCCAACATCTTAGGGAATGTCCAAGACCACACCCTGCAGTGCTGTGCAGGTTGACCCTAATCGCTCCGATTGTATCACCTGCAGGAGAGCAAATCATTGTTCAACGCCTGTGAGGGAGGTGCTGGAGAAATCAGTACATACTTGAGGGATTCAGTCCCTGAAAGTGGGCTGGTCTGCAGTACCTAGAGATTTTGATCCAGCTGGCAAAACTATTGGACCGTGTGTTGGCCAACACCAATGACTGTCACCATTTGTGTTTAGGCCACTCCAAGCATGGGTGATTCATGTGTCAATATCAATCCTGCTCCATATGTAGTTCTTGACAACTGCAGACTAGCTCAAAATGTCATGGTAGGAGCGGCAAATGCTACGCCAAGGGCTTTCAGTCTTGGCACCGTCACTGCTTCCCTTGGCGGACACCATCACCGCCCAAGCAGTTTGCGATCAAACCCAGAGGCACCAGGTGAATCCAATTTGTTGAGCTTGCAGAATTCTCTTGAGTTTCAAAAGTGCTACATTGTTACATGCGATTCGGCGATTGGCCCCCAAGAATACGTATGTATATATATATATATATATTGACACCAACTCAGTTGATACATAGCATTGATTGCCTCAAGGGCTACTGCACTTTGTTCAGGGGTTGAATAGTAGGCCAATGTCTGCCGAGCTGAACAGACATACTTTGACTTATTGCATTGAGAGAATCCCTTTGTGAAGAGAGTCAATAATAATATTGTAAAGAGAAGTCCTGCTTTCAACCCTATTTGTTTTGTGTTTGGGGTTGCCGAGTATTTGGGCGCCAAGGGGAGCATTAATTCATGCATCGAATCGCCTAAGTTGTGACAAGATCGCGCGATGCAAGCGCCCGACATTGGTCAGAAATCGCCGCTCTCATGAAATTGATGTGGGAGCAGCCGCAAATGCTTATGCCAGCTTGGGACAACGGAGGGTCATTCTTTAGATGAGGAAGTGGCTATGTGTCATGAGCAGACCTCCTATAAAAACCATGATATTGGGTCAGTTTTCGAGCTCGACGAGCTCGGGTGTCCTCTCAAGACAACACGCCTTGGAACCATCTCCGATGGCGGGTTCCACGCTCCCCGCTGGCGACCCTGGAACACGCTCGGCGACCTGCGACCGCTGTCGCTGGGAATGGAAAAAAAGGGACCGATAAACACCCTTTGTGGAGTGAGTGCAAGTGTCGATATTTTTCAACATGTCTATAGTCCATTTTGATGGGACTTCTTTCCTACACATGTTCACAATCAATCACTTGTTTGTTTGTTTTTTTGTTTGTTCGTTTGAGAGCAGCTTCCATTTGGACGCCAACCGATGCCTCACTCCGGAAAGCCTCACGCAGCCATTGGATGAGTTGTTTCGTCGGCGTTGGACCAAAGAGATGGAGTTGTGCTTGGCAAATATCCTGGCAGTTTTGCTTGCACTCAAATCAAATCCATTCCAAATCCATTCAAATCCATTCCAAATATCACATTCAAATCCATTCCATTCCATTCAAATCCAATCCAATCCATTCCATTTCAGACCTTGAACTCAAAAGTTTGAGAATCGGCCTGAAACAACTCATCCCATTCTCTTCTGGCCATCTGGCCATCAGAGTCAGCAGTTGGTGTGGTGGGCTCTCCCAAAGAACAAACATGTTCATATTGCGTTCATTCTTTCCCACTTGCCGCATTGGCCTGTTGGCTTCAAGCGTGACAACGCTTTAGAAGCAGAGATCCTCTGCCGAAAAGACAACATAAAACCAAAGATCCATCCATCTCCCGATTACGCCGATTACTATCATACATTTGCCAAAATAGCTGAACTGCAGTGGAAGCTTTCGAAAAACCAGTTGAGCTCGAGCTCTGTTTTTCCACGAGAACCGACCACATGATGAACCGAAGGTTCCTGAGTTTAGGTCAACCCGATCAGGTGTCGTAGACCCATGTCGTGAAGGATTTGAAGTCTTCTCGGGTCCATTGAAGCCCAACACCTCCAGAGAAGCACGTGACATGACATGACAGGTAATTAATTACTATAGTCAACCTGGGGGCATTGGAGGCATATGTTTTTTACTCGCTACTAGGTGGAGGCCATCGCTATTAGGTTGGAGGCCATCGCTTATAGGTTGGAGGCCATCACTAGATCATTGATCATCACTAGAAGTTTACTAGATCATCACATGCCCCCCCTCCACCACCCAGCCACGTAGACCGGTCTAAGTCAGCAGCTGTACATCCCACGTCCTTCACGTAGACGACCGGATGAGAAGCCGATGTGGCGGATGTGTGGGAGGAGCCCATCCGATGTGTGGTGGTGTGTCTTCCGTGACTCCCCACAACACGGAACCACATAGAACCCCAGTTGACCACTCCACCGGTTGACCACTCTACACGGTCTCTACGGGGGGGGGTTGAGGGTTCCAGCTTTAAAAACAAGTACACCCCTTTCAACCTTTCGTCCACCATCTTGGAGTCCATTTTGACTCACTTGGACACCCCCCAAGATCCCAAGATCCGCGCTTCCCCATGCTCGGAGTCCGAACTCGGTCGCTTCAGCCCGTTCACGGAGGCGGGAGGCCGGAACAGGAATCGGCCGAGGTTGTGTGTGTTTGAGGCTTTGAGGTATTGAACATCATAAGACGATCGATAAACCATTCTAATTCCAATATAGTTGTATCATAATTTTATATACTGTATAATCCTGGATGGTGGTATCAGATCAGATATTTTGTGTTCAACCTTTACTTGGGATGATTGAACCCACTGAATAATTTTTTTTCAAGTGAGTGGAAACCACCAACCTGTATTATATACACAATTCAACAGGTCCTCTCTATATTTGTTGCCACCCTCCGTATTATTGGTTCTGAACTATGTTGATGCTGTGGAAAAGAGATCTTGGACATTTCTTTGTTGTAACCTATGTTGTTGGCAAAGGCTCGTAACTATATGTTTTGAAAACAATGTTGTTAGGAACGTGTCTTGGACATGTCCTGTTGTCGGTCGGCCTATTGTTGCTACTTTATTCCAAATACGTATATATATATATATATCTTTTGTTCAACTACTCATATTAGGAACACATGCAAAAGCACTGGGACAAAAGGATCATACCGGAACAAGTCGGGAAACTTTCTGTAAAGAATTGGTCTGAATGATGGAGCAAACATGCGAATACAAACAAGGGACAAAATACATCAATTAGGAAGATTATGTACATCAATGTACAACTGTATTGAGCCTGTAGATACAAAATTGAACTGAAACATCTTGGAGGTGCACTTGAAGCTTGGAATCGGCACAACCAAGGACTCCGTTCCAGTGGAACATGACACACCCATGTGGTTCTAACGCCAAACCTAACGCCAAGAGATCCCTTCGAATTTATCATGCATGTAGTTTGTCCTCGCACTGGTTGTCCTTCAGAGACTTCTCATTCAGGCTCTCAGACCGAAATCGAAACTATTGAAACCTACTATGTGTGTTGCGGACGGTGGATCCAGTCTAGTCCCTTGATGGAGTGTCATTGCCCACCCAACCCCCCTGAACGGAAGCAGCTGTGGTGGAGGCTGACCTGGCTGACGGGGGGGGGGTGGTTTCCAAGCGACCTTCGGTTCCCGACGCCAGGAGGACCTCTCCATGATCAGCCCCCTGGGTCTTCTGCTCTTCTGGGCCCGGTCGCCGAAAGAACGACTGCTGATCGTGATTTAGATGGGATGCGGGTCCGGTAACTTGATCTCCAAATTAGGGGAAAAAAAAGATATCGTGTTTTTTTCTCTTCAAAGCAAATAGACATCTCGCCTTATTGGATGTTTTATTTTTCTGCCTGCACGTGACCTCCTTGGGCCCACGTGCAGTGCGAAACGCAGTGCGAAACGCAGTGGGGCTGGGCTGCATGCTCAGAGTCACCACTAGATGCCCTGATAGGTATTGGTTTGCCACGGTACAACCGATCGGTGTGCCTGCTCAGATCGCGTTGTAGCAAAGGAGCTGAAGAAAGATCCAAAGACCGGACGTAATCACTTGGATGGTGGTGTGCACCACAAGAGAGTACTACAAGAGGTGGCCAGTGGGTTGTCTTGTGGTGCCTTCAAGACAGCTTAAGGTGATGATTTGAAGGGATAAAAGGGACAGCACGAGAGAGACTGACCGTGCCCACCCAGCGGGAGATGGCGGGTGAGATGGCGAGACTTGTTTGGAGACTGTATGTTTTATGCAGATTCGTGTTGTTTGGATGAGAAATACCCTTCCAGAGACTTTATTTACCGTGACGCATGTCAAGCCTGTAAAAAGTCAATGGACCAAGCATGCCAAGGTCGATTCAAAGAACATGATTTGCTTGTGGGACATGGGTTTCATCTCTCCGCAAAACTTTGGTATCCAACCCAAAGGAAACAACACAAAATCCGACTTTGGGACGTGGGAAAATCAGATCCTTGTACCCTATCACACCCACAGATGTTGCCGTAAATATGCATGCAGACGGGTGTTCGCTTCTTTGCTTCCCTATTACCATCACGGAAGTTGGCTCGGGATGCTTCCGGTTTGGAGAGTCCTTCTCAAAAGCTTTGCAGATCGCATATGGTTTCTCTTTTCCGCGGAGGACCCAGTTTCGTCCCCCCTTTGGAGGCCACTCTTTCCATCCTTTTGTAGGGGTTCCAAGTGCCAAGTTGGCCAACATCAGCGGGTCGGCGGGGGAAGAACATCACCCACCAGGACCTTCCCAGTGACCTGAAAACAGGAGGTGTAGAGGTGACGCGAAACCCAGACCTAAGTGACCTTAGCCACCGGGATCTCCAAGGATCACTGAAGGTCCTAGCAGAAAAGCATGTCTTGAAACCGCCTTCGCCCAGAACAGCTGGAGACTCCTTGCTGGTGCAGGCCAGGAGAGGACTTCGGGCGATGGGGCAGAGCTGGAAAGAATGCACTGCTGCACTGTACAGCATATTGGAGCATCTCTGCCACCCCCGCGTATGGTAAAAATGTATATATATATATACAGTATATATCCCTACCAGTCCACAACCCAAGCAAAATCCAGTACTGTTTTTTCATGACCAGTATTTTAGACCTTAAACAGGTGAGGACTCGCAGCTTGTTGGAAAGTCCAGTACATATAGCATTTGACACGCCAAACTGGGAGGGCTTACTGTAGTGTGGAATTACCAAGTTTGAGGTCACTATCAGCACGGCATTTCTTTTGTGGATGGGCGGATCGAGGTTGCATTCGAGAATCTGAAGTAGACCACCATCGACTCCGAATCATCGGCATGTTGCGGAAAAAACATCTCCTGTTTGTTTGGGCAGTGACCATCATCAATAGACCCAAAGACATGTTGTACTTCAGTTACTCAGTGTCAGAGCTCGGGACAGTCCCGACCCTCCCAGGACACTGGTGTAGCAGGTGTGACAGGACCTGCCGTCCCCGAGACTCCGAAGACGTTGCGACGGTGGTTGTTATATTCGATCAACTGCCAATTCACAAGACCCTCCAGTCAAATCATGGTTGTAGCATGTTATAGTTAGATTCTATAGCCTAGTTGGCCATCCAAGCTGCAAGTCTTCAAGTTGGGTGTCTTAGAGAACCGCTTTGGACCTCGGATTCTTTGCGTGTTCCAAGCGGGGAGGCGATGGGCATACCGTGTGCGTTCTCGTGGAGGTGGCACAGGGTGCGGATCTACGAGTGCTTCGACCGCAGAACGAGGGGTGGGTGGGTGGTTGCATGGATAACACCAGTTCCATCGCAGAACTGGTCCATCTCGAGATGCAAAAGATCACACTCTGAGAAGCTGCTTGAGGAGAAGAATCAGGTGCATCCATGGATGGATCCTGCTGGATCGCCAGCTGTGAAAAGGACCGCAAGGAAGCTTGGCCCTGTAGCTACTACTATAGTAGAGATATGTAGAGATTCATTCACGCTAATTATGGAAGACGGGAATTCCGACCTCCAATTGGTGAACGAGAACTTGTCCATCAACCACAGGTGTCCCTACTTCGACGGCCGGGCTTTTTCACAATCCTTTTCTATGCTCCGCTTCGACCAAACAACCAGAGCCGAGATTTCTTGATGTTCAAACGAACCAAAGATCATGTGCCACCCCTGAATTTCTGACATTCGTATCCGATCAACAAATGGACTCAGGCTGCACCACACACACACACAAATAAAGTACTATCTGAAAAGAAAACCATCCAAAATAGACTTGTCTTCTAGGGTCTGGGGTGTGTCCTTTTCCAGCTTCTATTGGGGTCGTAGTATGAATCCGTCAAGGGGGCCCCCACCAGGATTTATCGGAGACTGCTGCGCATGCCGGGCATGGCCGGACTAGAATCATGACTATCCCAGAATCGGGGAATGAAATTTCCCCGAAGTGCTCTAAAAAAGGCTTGTATGTCTTCGCATCCACAGGCAAGTCCTGCGAGTGTCAGGACCAGAATAAGCTGAGCCCCACCAACAAACAATATCTTCATCAATGCAAAGCTTTTAGGGAATCGTTTCACTGGGAATCGTTTCGCCTGTAATTAGTAACAAGAAGCTACTAGGAGGTCTTTGAAGCTACTAGTAACATATTATAGGCACATGTATATGAATGGAGTAGCTGCATTTGTAGTATTTGCACGATATTCTTCATCAACAACACAGACTCTTATGATTATGTGTTTATCGTCGCCAGCTCGATTTGCCACACAACCCCAAGCGATGCTTCTGAGGCTCTTCGAAAGACATGGGCCAACAACGGGACTTCGGTCCGCTTTGTCAGACCAGAGGCGTTCCCAAGGTGGGCTGGAATCGAAGTAGGGCAGTGGGCAAGCGGCAAGTAGGTACTTGGGGGAAGCAGAATCAGAGTTCCTTTCTATCATTCATTCATTCATTCATTCATTCATTCATGTTCATTCATTCATGTTCATTCATTCATGTTCATTCATTCATGTTCATTCATTCATGTTCATTCATTCATGTTCATTCATTCATTTTCATTCATTCATGTTCATTCATTCATGTTCATTCATTCATGTTCATTCATTCATGTTCATTCATTCATGTTCATTCATTCATGTTCATTCATTCATGTTCATTCATTCAT